TTTCCTGCTGCTGCTTAGTTAAGTTGGATTGCAGGTTTTGGGCAGAAAGTTTTCAGCAGCTGTAAAAGGTAGCTTCTGTATTCTTACTCTTTTAACTTTATTTCTTTTTAATCAATTTTTCTACATAAAAACTAGCATCGCATTGTTACATATTTTTCTTGGTAATACATATATGTTTTCTTTCTTTTACAGCCATCTTCTTGTCAGGATTGCAGCAAACACAATCAAAAACTGCTTTTCTGCCGAAAGAGATTTATCACGTAAGGAGTCATGACACCTCTGAATCTTTTTAATCGATTAAGTACTTTGTTTAATGTCTTTTGAAGCCCATTTTATGTATGGAAATCTGAGGCCAAAGAAAGCACTATATCCTGTGTGATTCAGTTTTTATATGATGGTTAAATTGTATATCTTATGGTTCTAAGTTTAGAGTCCAGCTCTAACATTGTTTACATTGGTTACCCTTCCTAACTTAACCAGTTGGACATTTAATGGGCTCTTTGGTGACTTTATGTTTCCGTTATTGCAAAGCCTACAAGCATTAATTCTTTGTCAGGTCGTTCTTTAATGTAGTGATTGTTTGCGCGTACACCCAAATTTTCAATCATGAAGAAGAGAAACTAATGAATAGTACTTATAGCTGCAGGTTATCCTTAAAACTGTATTTTTCTTTTTAATTTTTCCAAGTACAATCTATCTACTAATTACTATTTAACGATCATAGCCTTCTTGAATTAATTATTTACCACTTTGTTTAGTTTGTTGATTTGGAAATGAAGCATATTGTTCTTCTTCTTCTTTTTGTGTGTGCGTGCAGATGATGAATGTGAGATTCAAGATACACCTTTCTTTACATGATCAGCATCTTCACAGCCCATAAACATTTTGAAGTGACCTTCGGTTCTGTCCGTATTCAATGCTGTCATTTTGAAGTTGGAATTACTGCCTTCTCGGATAGTTCCTGAAAGTTACTTTCATGGTATGTGTGCCGCCTACAAATCTTCTCCTAGTGCTTTTTTTTTTTTTTTTGGTTTTAATTCATGCTTCAAGACCTAAAAATTCATGTTTTTAACTTAGAATATCATCGGAAGCGGCTTAAATATTATGTTTCTAAATTGCAGAAAAGAGCATTAACTTGGGCATTAAGCTTAAAAAAAGACCACATGAAGACCATAAATCCACCAAAACATTATTATAAACTCTCTGGACTCTTCAATTTATGGAAGTTTGTTGAATAGCTTTTCTGTTAGAAACTCTGCATTTTTTTTAACACCATATGGTCGCTAGAAATACCTGCTGAATAAAATTAGAAACCAAAACGTCATTAGATTCATCATCAATAAGAAATTACCATTTGCAAAAAAGTTCACTCTCAATTAGGGAACTTAATGGCCAAAATCAAGGTGGGGAAATGATAGTATGAAGTACAAAATGAAAAAATTAGATCAATTGATGCACATGCTGAATATTGGAAGACATACAACATGTTTTGGTTGGAATATGTACATGTGTTTCCTATACATGTTTTATTAGCTAATTGGGAAGTATGACCCGTCTGGTGAAGTAGATGGTTGTGCCAAAAATAATGTTTGAAGCCTCAAAACTCATCCGTTATTTTGGACTCTTGATCAGTTGTGACTTCAAAGTAGGTGGAGCAGTGATAATTAAGATAATAAAACGGCATGTGGTGGAAATGCATTTATCAAGATTTCAGAGTGAGCGAGGAAGCATGTGTCTGCGTCCGTTGACCATGGATTGTTTTATGGAAGCAGCTGTTTTTTCAATAAAAAAATAAAACAAAAAAAAAGAGAAAAGAGAAGACATTGATTGCATTAGCGTTAAATAGTTATGAAGCCAATTAGCCATCATATATAATAATGATTATTATGTATGCAGTGCAAAATTGCTCTATGAATCTATATAATTACATAATTCTTGGCTTTTTTTTCTTTTTCTTTTTAAGATCAACGATGTCGCATATATATTTGAGAGTCCAATTGCTTTCTATCGCAAAATACCATTGAGAATTGCTCATGTAATTAGTTTCTTGAATAACTTATTAGTATTATTGTTATAAAATAATATAAATTATATTTTGAAGTGAGGTAATTCTTTAATGTAGTATTAGAGTATTAATGATTAAATAATCATGTATTTAAATTTTATCATTTTTATTCTTAGTTTTAATTAAAATTAATTAATAACACAAATTAGCATGTAACTATATAATTTTTAAGTTGAAACGATTCTTAAGTCTCTTTAATTAAATATGAAGTTTTACATACATTATAAAATGTAACAAAGGGAGAACCTAAATACAGATAATTAAGTCTAGAAAAAAGATTAAATAGCTTGCCTATTTCATATATATGTTTCTGCTAGTGTATGGATAATTTTCATGGCTGACCGAGTGATCAGATGGAAGGAGCTAACAGTTTATCTATAATGCATGCTTTATCTAGATTCATGTGAACAAATCTAGTTCTCTCTATCTTCAATTTTTTTTTAGGAATGCGTAATCATGATAATATTCTCCCAGTAGTGTTAATTTCCATAAGAAACTCTCTTCTTATGTCCAATTTCCTTATATTCGAACCTCAGATGACAAGAGGGGAGTAAATCCAGTAATCACCTACGGTATCCTTCCAAAGCACCTAGCTAGTTATTATGATTTGCAGCGAAATTGTTTTTTCATTCATTTATTTATTTAAATAAAACTATATATGGGCTATATATAATGTCATCATCTTTGAGTTTTCATTGAACAATTATGAAGTTCATATGATCAATTGCTTGCGCAATAGGATATTGACTATAGTTTTTTGCATTATGCTATTAAATAAACCTTTCAATCTATCATTCTTCTTAGCTATGATCGTTTTGTCTCAGTAGTTGAAAATAGTTCGTCGGTAAGTGTTGTCTTTACATGCCTGTATAGTTCTTGTAAGAACTACAGTGATTGGCGCAGCCTTAAATTGAATTACACTATACACTGGCCATCCCCGTTATGAAAATGCAGAGTTCATCTATTATTCATTTTACATCAGAAACAATATTAAGATGGTGTATTTTAATAGGAATTTGCATTTTCCCCGCCAGCTAACCTTCTGCTGAAAAAGTATCTGTCCTTGCTGAGCATTTCCTTTCAATATCTTTCCGTTTGCAGCTGTACACGCAGTGTTTTTGAAATATTATATATTAATTTAAGACTCTTCTACTGTTGGATTATAAGAATGCGCAATCACCAATAATTGAATGGCAAGCACTAGTTATGATGTCTCTGCATTTGGAGTTGCAACCGATCAAGAGTCTTTTCCATATGAGCCAAGAGCAACTCGAGCCTTTCTGATGTGCCAGCTGACGAGCACTGCTGCCTGTAATAGCACCTTTATAAGAGTAATTTTTGAAGAAAAGGAGCCAGATATATTGTTGGCTATTTACTTAAATTTTGCCTCCGAGCTCAAACCTGTACAGTTTTTTCTTTCTGCTATTCATCCGTTTTCCTGACAAAGCCGTAGCAATTTCAAATAAAAAACGCAATCTCAAATCAATGCAAAAGATTGTTATCTCATGCGAATCATGCCTCTACGTAAATAGTTTTTATGCTCAAGCTTCGAGATAGTCAAGTTCCGTACTGTAGATGAGTACCAGAAGAACATCAAAAGAAGAACTCTATGTATATATGGTGTTAACATGCGCATATATAGGTACGCTAATAGTTTCCCTTAATTCGTGTATGTTCGCGACCTATTCTTGTAGATATGCTTCAAAGATGCGGGGCTAGAGTCTACAGTACCATGCATTAATTGAGAGAAAATTCAGAAAAGCCTGCGTGCTTGCCCATCTTACCATTGATGCACAATTTCTACGACTGTATAAATAGCTACGTAGCTTAATCTTGAGAACGGGGCAATGGGATACTGCACACACAACACAGATTAAATTGTCTTTCCGGCTTATGATGTCTTGGTGGTGCAGGACATGAACACGCCCTTGTCGTGTTATTGACTTAATCAATATTACTCCTCACAAATACGCTCAATATATATATATAAAGAAACAAAGCTACTGCATCCAATGCAGTAATGGCAGGTTGCATGATGATATATTAAAAGCTAATCACAGTACATCAGATAAAGGTAATTAATACAGGATGTTGGGAGATTTATTGGAGCAATAAACATATAGTAATACGAGAGCACCATGGCCACCATTATTGTCATAAAGATTCATTAGCAACTTGGTCCAATTATTGTCGTAAAAGATTCATTAATTTCTCTAACGAGATTCCCATACTCTAAGTCTTGAAATTGAAGTCCCATTCCCCTCCCCTCCCCGGCCTATAAAGATGTATAGGTTAGGTTTAATAGGCACAATTGATGATGATAAAGAAGCCACATGTGTGAGCTGGTACAGAAGAAAGGAAAAGAGATTAAAGCTCCTTTCACTGTTTGGTCCTCCTTTTTTTCCCACTCTCAGAATTAGGAACGGGGGTGATGTACAGCACTACTCCCTGTACATGTAGTTGAATCTGCATGGACCACGTTCTTGTTTCTGTGCATTTATTGTATCAAGTACCGCATGCCCTCCTAGTTATTGCTTTCTCTCTCGATCTCTGGCGGTATACGGCTCCATCTATCCATGACTCCGCTTTAGTTTCTTAAGATGAAAATAACTCGGGGCAATTACAGACCATCGTTCTCTAGGGAGTTGATCATGGGGGTATTCCTAATCAATTTACTAAAATTAACTACTCTTTTGAAGCTTAATTTGCACGAAGTCGTTGCAGTTTGGTTTGTATACATTAAATAGCTGAAAGATCATGGCAGCAATTCTTCTTGATATTTTACGAAGAAAGGTTCCTAAGACTGATAATCGGTGCCGCAGCCTATTGTTCTGCGCTGTTGGCTGCCAATTCTCGCTCTATCAGGGGAAGGAATGCGTACTTCATACATACTTGGTAACAACTTAAAGTAATTATTTTCTTCTTCTTCTTCTTCTTTTGAGATAATTATACTTATAGAGAATAATTACTTACCACTATGATGATAGTGCAAATTTATAGAGATGTACTGTTGTTCACTATATAGCTGTTGGAGCTCAAATGATCCATCGAGTTGGGTTTACTAACTGGGGAGTTCACTAAAGTTGGTTACCCGTGTATAGTGCCGTCTAATAAAGAAAAATTATTCACCAAACTTGTTTCTCTCTTGAGGCTATCATGAGAGGATACATAAATCATTCTATCGCATGTTAGGAAGCAATAGGGGTGTTCATTTTCGGTTCAATTCAGTTTTTTAAGGGAAAAACTGGTTCAAATCGGTTTGGCTCGGTTTTTCCGGTTTGGCTCTATTTTTCTCGGTTTTGGCTCGGTTTTTCCGGTTTGGCTCTATTTTTCTCGGTTTTGGCTCGGTTTTTCCGGTTTGGCTTGGTTTTGGCTCGGTTTTT